ACATATTCTTACAAGCTAATATCTTTTTAAAGTATGATACTTTGTAAAACACTGTGTAATATGAAGTGAGAATTCTCGTGATCCGTCCGCAGTCTGCTAAGAACAGTAACAAGACAAGGATGCCCACTTTCATCACTCCTGTCCAACATAGTACTGGGGTACAAAATTAATGCCCAGAAATCTATGGCATTTTTATACACCAATAGTGAACTTACAGAAAGAAAGATTAAAGCAACAATCCCATTTACCATTGCACCAAAAAAATTAAGATCTGGAATAAACTGAAGAGGTAAGAGACCTGTACTTGAAATACTACAGGACACTGAAAAAAGAGATCGAGGAAGATGTAAACAGATGGAAGAACATACCATATTCATGGAATGGTAGAATCAACATCTTTAAAATGTACTCATTACCCAAAGCAATCTATACATTCAATGCACTCCCCATTAAAATACCAGTGTCATTTCACAGACCTAGAACGAACTCTCCAAAAATTCATCTGGAATAAAAAAAGACCCCAAATAGCAGGAATCCTGAGAAGAACAAAGTAGGGGGCGGGATCTCAATACCAGATATCAAGCTGTATTACAAAGCCACTCTTCTCAAAATTGCCTGGTACTGGCACAATAACAGACATATAGACCAATGGAATAGCATAGAGAACCCATAAATCAACCCATACCAGTGTGCTCAATTAATATTTGACAAAGGAGGCAATAGCATACAATGGAGTCAAGACAGCCTCTTCAATAAATGTTGTTGGGGAAGTTGGACAGAAACATGCAAAAAAAATGAAACTAGACCACCAACTTACACCATACACAAAATAAACTCAAAATGGATAAGGATTTAAACATAAGACGGGAAACCATAAAAGTCTTAAAGAGTAATCCATAGCAAAATTGCAGACATATGTTGTAGCAGCATCTTCACCGATACAGCTCCTAGGACAATGGAAACAAGTCCAATAGTAGTAAAGAGAAAATAGACAAATAAAGTTTAAGCTACATAATCTGTAAATTCCTGTAAATGTTGGAGATTAAACCCACAGACACTATTGGGTGTTGGGGTCCAGCCCCAGCAGGTCCAGGAGTTCCCAAAGGTGTGGACGGAGTCGGCAAAGAAGGAATGACACAGAGACAGCGTTCAGTTGATCAGCAGCCTAGCCAGGTTCTCTAGCCAGGTTCTGGG